CTCTGACGCCCTTGACGTCTCTGACGCCCTTGACGTCACTGACGCCCTTGACGTCACTGACGCCCTTGACGTCCTTGATGTCCTTGATGCCCTTGATGTCCTTGATGCTCTTGACGTTCTTGATGTCTCTGATGACTCTGATGGCCATGGGACTTCGGATGGGCTTGGTAAGTCCAATGGACTACCTAGACCTAGATCTAATGGCGATGTCAGTCCAGCAGAGTCATTTTCACACTCAAAATCATAAATTCCATTGTAAATAAAATCATTCAAACTGTATCGCGATAGTTCCGATGGACTTGTTGTTTCCGATAAAACTACCTCAGATGTTGATGGTTTTGGTTCTAATGGTTTTGTTGCCAATCTTTTTGGAGGCTTTGGCACCTTTTTCGGTTCTATGTAAGCAACGCAAGAGTCAATAATCGGTTGATCTTTCTTGAGAAGTTGTTGTTCCCTCTGGTATTTCAGTCTCTTGCGCTTTTCACGTTTCCTCTGTTTTCTCCTTCTATATTGCTTTGACTTAGTTTCAAAAGGAAAATGATCTAGATCCGAATCTTCTGTTACGGAGGATGTATCGGAGGAGCCCCGTATACCAAGCGATTCTAGGTGCAACTGTAGTTCCAAAAAATCTCTGTCAGAGGTATTAGTAGCTTTGTCTTCAACTTGATACTCGTTCTCCCCGCGATACATTTTTTTGTTTACTTCTGGTGGCGGTACGCCGCATAATTTGTCACTAAATGAGACAGCATACTCTGTCATCCTTGCTTTGACGTTATCGTTGAATCTAGTAACATTTCGTCGGATCTCTTGTATCCTTCGACGTCTAGAAGACGTCGGTACATACGAGTCAAACGTGACATATTGGGTACAGGTACTTGAATATTCAGAAATTTCATCTTCTAAACGCCTAGTTTCTGCTCTTAGAAGTTTAGTAAATGTTTCTTCTATTTTGTTTTACAGCCCTGTAATTAATTTTCTAATTTCCCACCTTTGTCGTTGTTTGCTCCTACTTGGCTCTTCACTGTGCAGTTGTCTTATCACTCTCCTCTGCAGCTATCGTGTTGCCACTCTCCTTTGCCTGTACCTCTCGTAAACTGCTGCACCTCTCGTAAACTGCTATACCTCTCGTAAACTGCTGCACCTCTCGTAAACTACTGTACCTTTCGTAAACTGCTGTATCTCGTAATTTGCACGTGCTGTGTCAAATTCCTGTAATCACATAACATGCAACACATAATTACACTCCCTTGTTGACCAAGATACTTGTCATCTACAAGCTTAACTCGATTATCATTTAAAATCAATCGTATCACACAATACTCTTCACATAATATATAATATATAAATAAAATAAAATAAAAAATAATTTTAAAGGAATAAAGGGCTAAGAGCTGTGACGGGGTGTTGACGTCTAAACATTTCATATTAGTAAATATATTGCGAAAATTATTATCTCAGCCAGGGTCTGAATCAAGGCATGCCTCGGTGGTCGAATTGGTTGAGATGCCTGCTTAGCAAGAGGAAGGTCCAGGTTCAAACCCTGGCTGAGGTAATATTTTTCGCAATAAATTTAATAATATAAAATATTTCGACATTAACACCCCGTCACGGCTTAGTCCTTTATTCCTTTAAATTTGTCAACTATTAAGAATACTCTTTAAATTTGTGTTTATCACATTTGAGCCATACAAATTTGAATAAAAAATAAAATTTACACAAATGTACATTCCTATTTTCCTTACCGCTTATCTTCCACCCGAAAGTCATCCGACAATCTCCCGCTCTCGACAGTTTTCCGTACTAATTGGATTGTGCTCGTGTAACACAAGCTCAATCTGCTCTCCAAAAGCTCCGAAATCAAACTGTGGCCGGGCCGAGCGAGACGCGGCTTTTAAAGGTCAATGGTGCGCCGGTGCTGCTGGCGACCTTAGCAGTGTAATCCCCCTCTCCTACCTATTACCTTGACCTCTTCACGTGTCCGTACTTCTTCTCCCATTCCTCGTCGCCCTTCCATTCCGCCCTCGCCCTTTCGTCGTCGTCCTCCACCACAGTTGTCCGAAATATTGAAATTGACACAATGGGAATTAGCAAAAACACAATAGTCACTCAAGAATCGCCAGTGGAAAAATTGCCGCTCGCGAATGTTAATCATCCCGATCGATCGGGCGAAACACGGCTCCATTTGTATCAAGTCCATGAAACGTCCGAAACGAACGCAGTGGAATGCGTTCATGTGCCAGTAAACTACTATTAAGCCCCGACACAGACCTGATAATTACCGTTTCTTCGCTGATGCGACGTCTCGCCAGATCTCGTCGTACATCTTGATGCGCACCCGATCGATAAAGCGTTTAAATTTAGACCTCGCTACGTCGTCATGGCATCCCATGACTTTCGGGTATCGGGCCGCGCCTAGCGACGGGAAGAAGCGTCGATACCTTTGTCCCTACCGACACGCCTGACCGCTCGTTCATTCGGCAACGATCCGAACGTTAAACAACACTGAAAATTCAGGTTCACGATCAAGTTCAAGTACAATTTTTCCGTAAACACACTCGTCCGTTGGCGTAGAGCGTTTATTGACGTCACTAGGGATACGCTCTGACGTCAGAGGCTCGCGGTATCATCACTGAGGCAACGGAAAGACGCGCCTCCATTGGTTCAATACTACACACGCTATTGACGCTATACACTTCCCCCCCGCCGATGACCAGGGCTGACAACTAAAGAGTACTCGAACATAGTATAATCAGTATGCCCACTCGCTCTTTTGTTTCACGTTCGCGCCCATAGACATAGTATATCTAGACTGCTGGTTGGCGGAGTGGGGGTAGAGCTCACGTAGAAAAGGATGCACTCTGTTTCGTGTCTGTGCGTTCTCTCTCGCACACGCGAAAAGAGGGGATAAGGGGAAGCAGTTACTAAAGCCCGCTGCAGACGATACTATTTTTCCTGCTGGATTGCTTGCGATTTAGTAAATTATTATCGTTGCACCACTCAGCATTCAGGATTCCTAGTAATTTACTAAATTGCAAGCAATCCAGCAGGAAAAATAGCATCGTCTGCAGCGGGCTTAACCTGTTACAGGTTCCCCTTATCCCCTCTTTTCGCGTGTGCGAGAGAGAACGCACAGACACGAAACAGAGTGCATCCTTTTCTACGTGAGCTCTACCCCCACTCCTGAAATTTGAGAGAACCAGCAGTCTAGATATACTATGTCTATGTTCGCGCCGATCCGTACTGCGCATCCGACATGTTCTAGTTATGACCAATCACAGGATTTTTGTACGTGGGTTAGTGCAAAGTCGGTGTGACATAGGGTCTGTTCTTTATTGCTGCACTCCTGAACTAGTGCACACTGGTGCAATGAGTTGGAATGAGAAGTAAGGGTACTATTACATTTGTCGTACGA